GAGGGTATATAAAACATACTTATTTAATCCTCTAAGAAGTTTATTCCTTATAGTAAGTTCTCATTATCATTTATGAAGAGTTTGTCTTTTCCCTATTAATTTAAAATACTAACATTGTCACATATAAACTCTTTGCCAGGGGCTAGGATCATAGCTCAGTGGTAGAGTGCTTGCCTAGAATATGTAAGAATATAAGTTCAATTACAAACACCATAAAAATACCTTCACAGCACTTAAATTTGGATCATATATACATATTCTTTTGATTTGTGTCTTTTAAAATAAAATGCAAATGTTCAGTGTTTATATTTTTAATGGATTTGTGCATATGTGCACGTGTGTGTGGTCAGATGTTGACACTGTGTGTCTTCCTCAATTATTCTATACTTTATTTTTGGAAACAGGGGCTTTCAATGAACCTGGGGCTCATCTATTCTGCTAGACCTACTAACCAACAAGCCCCAGGGATCCTCCTGCCTCTATCTTCCGAATCCTGAGATTACAGGTCAGTGTCACCATGCTTGGATTTTTACCTGGGTTCTGGGGAGCAACACTCAGGTCCTCATGTTCCTGCAGCAAACACTGTATTAAGTAAGCCATCTCCACAACCATAAGCAACATTTTAGTAGATGAAAATGCAGATACTTTAATTATTCACCTCTTTATAATAAATTTTTTGACTGTTATGACTGACTTTCACCTCAAGGAAGAACTATTTGTTCATGGAGCATAGACAATAGATGTTATCTGTGATGAATCTGTCAGGACAACCCAACTTGTTGATTGTACACAAAAAAAGTTATCCATGGATTTTTTTGGAAATAAAATATTTACTCTGGTCTCTACATCAATATTTTCTCTACATCAAATCCAATCATAATGTGATGTTGGCTAACTTGATCTTATGCACCTAATGCCAAGAAAACTAAGCAGAAAAATGATTAAGGAGGCATTTGTCTTCAAGATCAAGAAGGGTTTGACTTGCATGGATAGTGGGTCTCATTAGATAACTGCCTAGAGGCAAAGTTGTCTGATAGTCTGGAAATTTATTGTCTCAGGAATTTCAGAAAAAAGAAAAAATATTTAACATATTTCTTTTCATGAGCACAGGTTTAATTTAAAATTTTTCTTGTTAGAAATCAGTGATAATATCCCCATCATCTGAAAAAATTACTATGTGCCTGAGGACTTGACTCATTTCTGATTGTAACTCCCATAACTTGTTTGAGGACTTTCGTTATTCTCACTTTCTATAGTTTGTATATGTGTGTGTGTGTGTGTGTGTGTGTGTGTGTGTGTATCTGTCTGTCTGTCTATCTATATTCTTGTATGTGTGATGAATGTTCAGGTGCTTTTACATGTGTATGCATGGAGGTCAGAAGTCAACATTAGATATCTTGTTTAATTGCCTTCTACAAAATAACTATTGAGACAGGTCTCTTACTGAACCTGGAGCTTACTGATTTGCTAGACTGGTTGACAAGAGCAAGCCTAAAGGAACTCCCTGACTCCATCTCCACTCTCCTGAGATTGCAGGTACAGGTATGTGCTGACACTCCTGACTTTGTTTTTTACTTGGCTACTAGAAGAGTTTAATCAGGTCCTTATGCTTGTACAGCAGATACTGTACTAAGTCATCTCCCTAGCCCTGATCTCTCTTTACAATGAGTAAACCCAGTTAAATATCTTTAAGCCTGAGTCAGTTTAATTTAACATTATGGCACTGGCAAAGCCATAAATAGCAGCACCAGAAATACACCTGAACCCTTTGCCACATTGCAATTCTATTTCCAAAGAAGAAAAATGCCTTAGCATTGAGAAGATCCTTGGGGCCAAGAGTGAGCTGCACCCCTTTAGGGTGCTTTCTGTGAAGGCTGTTCATAGCATTATTGGGCACGCATGCTTCTGTCTCACCAAAATATTTTAGAATTATAAATTCTGATATTATGCTCCAGTATGTAGATTTATAATAATTACATTTATTAAAAAATTCTGAAACCATTATAAATTTTCTAAATGACTTTCTGAAAGGTTAATTAATATAATAAAAAAACCTACTAAAATGACAATCCAGGATGGCAAATTATTTCAAATTTATCTCAGAAAGATTCCACACATTCTTTTGTGATCATGTAGCAGTTATATAATGAATATCACAGGTCTTTTGAAAACCATTTACTTCAGTCATTGATTATTACCTTATGTATAAGTAAAAAAATTCCTGTGTCATGTTTTTAAAAGTTTTCACTGTCAGATTTTTGAAGATCTCTTTCGGTTCTCAGAATCAATGAAATAAATGGGAAGCTGAAACACTGAGAAGGTTTCTCTCTCTCTCTCTCTCTCTCTCTCTCTCTCTCTGTATGACCATTTGTTTGTATGCATGTACTCACCTGTGCATGCAGGTACTTGCTCCCATTGCTTTCCATTTTACTTTTGATTTATTTATTGTGTTATTGTTATCATTTTAATTATTATTTGGTCTTTTGGGCTCTGTAGCCCCAGCTGAACTGGAGCTCACTGTGTAGATGAAACTAGCCTTGATCTTACAGAGATCCTCCTGGTTTTGCCTCCTGAGTACTAAGATTAAAGTCGTGCACCACCACGCCTGGCTCCACCTTATTTTTTAATTGTAATTTTTATCAAATGTGTTCTCTGACTATTTATTACATGTATATAATGCATTCTGGTTATTCTCAGTCCTCAGCATCTCTTGTCTCTCTCCCACCTGTCAACATCCTCACTTGCTTTATAATTCCCTTTTCACAGTCATGTGTTTTGTATTTGTTTTGTTACTTCACAGCTTTATCCAGGGCTGTCTGTGTGATCATGATTTGGAACTATCTCTTGAAACCTGATGGACTTATTCATGGGTACAAAACTAAAGACAGCAATTGTCCCTCCCCCAAAATCCACTAATATCCAATAGTTCAGCAAAGACAGGTAGGAGTCTTTCAGTGCCTCTCTCATCTATGGCTGAGTAATGACAGGCCCAGTCATGTGCAGGCCCCAGTGGATGCAATCTCAGCTGCTGTGAGATCATGAGTGCAATGATCGTGTCATGCCAGAAGACAGCACTCCACAGTTCTTTTCTTATCTGCCAGCTTTTACATTCTTTCAGTCCCCTCTTCCATGATACTCCCAAGTCTTAGAGGGAGTTGTATAAGTTCCCTGTTAGGACTGAATGCTCAAGTGTTGCTTATTTTCAGAACCTAAAACAGCCATGAGTCCCTGCAGTTACTGCCATTCTTTGCAAAGAGCAGTTTCTCTGATGATGGCTGAGAGGAGCATTTGTCTATGGGTATAAACATAAGTGTTAAGAAGGCAGTTTAGCTAGGTGAGCACAGCTTTAATCCCAGAATTTGCAAGGCAGAGGCAAATCAATCTCTGTGATTTGGAGACCAGGTTGGTCTACACAACAAGTTCCAGGCAATCTACAGTTACATAGTGAGATTCTGTGACCAAAAAATGAGCTGTTTAGGGCTATGTTAATTTATTTACACAAGAGTAAGTTCTCCAGCAGGGCCCAAGGCCTTCTGAGTCATGGGTTTATGAATGGGTTTCAAATACTAGGTATACCCTCCGACTTGTGGGAGGGGCTCAGATCTAACCAGTGATGATTGGTTACCCCAATAACAGTTGTGCCACTGTTGTATGAGAAAGGTAAACTTGATTGGCAAGCTGGCATTGCAGTTATTAGGGTTCATAGCTGGTTAGGACTGGTTAAGACTGTTGATGCCTTTTCTCTTCCAGAGACTGCATAGTACCTTCTGGGACTAGGAAAGCTAGCTGGTAGGGAGGAAGCTTCCAACTCAGATCCAGCTTGATTTCTGTACATCTTGTAAGGGTGACGTGCAGTGTATTTTGCAATAGGGTTTCATCAACTAGCTCTGGTTGGCAACCAAAGGAAATATCAAAAGTCTGTATTTTGTGGGGGGGCCTCTGGAGTTTCTCAACACCTATCATTATCCAGACATGTGCCATCTCTCCTTCTAACGTTTTAAATTTACATTTTAAAAATTTTTCTTAGATTAGTAGGTTTCCATATGATTTCTTCATATAACTTTAATTTTTGTTAGCCCTTCACTCTGCCTCCTCATCTACCCCATGAGAGAACATGTGGTGTTTCTCTTTCTGCTCCTTGGTTACCTCATTCATTATATTTTCAAGTTTCATCCATTTTCCTGAAAATTTCATAATTTCATTCATTTCCACTCACATTGATGGACACCTAGGCTGGTTCGATTTCCTCAGTATTATAAATAGAGCAACAATGGAAAAGGTGTACAAGAGACTTTGCAGTAGGATGCAGAGGGATTTATGCCCAGGAGTGGTATAACTGGGTCATGTGATAGATCTATTTCTAGCTTTTGGTGGAAACTTCACCCTGATTTCCATAATGTCTGTATAAGTTTACCCTCCCACCAGGGTGAATAATATTCATCTTATCTGCATCCTAAAATTTGTTTTCATTTGATTTCTTGGTGACAGCTATTCTGACTGGAGTGAAATGGAATATCAAAGTAGTTTTAATTTGTATTTCCATGCCTGATAAGGATGTTAAACCTGAATATTGTAGTATTTTTTTTGTTTTTTGTTTGTTTGTTTGTTTGTTTGTGTGTTTGGTTGGTTTTGGTTTTGGTTTTTGTGGGTTTTTTTTGGGGGGGTCTTTTTGAGACAGGGTCTCCCTGTAGCCCCAGCTCTCCTGGATTCACTGTGGAGACCAGGTTGGCCTTGAACTCACAGAGATCTGCCTGCCTCTGCCTCTGCCTCCCAAGTGCTTGGATTAAAGGCTCATAGTTTTAACTATACTGGTTTTCCAGTAAAGCCCTGGGATCATCTTGAGAAGAAATGATGGAGTCTTTCCACAGAAGGACACTGACTCATTCTTCCTGTTCCAAGGCTCATGGGAAGAAAGGATGGATAATATAAAATGGTAATGCTCTAATTTCCCCCAATTCAGAGATACATTTCTACTTTCTGATATTAGGACCACCAATTCAATGACCGAGGGAGGAAACATTACCAAGATCACCGAATTCATCCTCCTGGGATTCTCAGATTTCCCCAGAATCACAGCACTGCTCTTCATCATATTCCTGCTCATCTACATCACAGCTCTGACCTGGAACCTGTGCCTCATTGTTTTAATAAGGATGGATTCCCACCTCCATACCCCCATGTACTTCTTCCTCAGTAATCTGTCCTTCATAGACCTCTGCTATGTCACCTCCACAGTCCCTAAAATTCTCTTTAGTTTCTTCCAGGAAAAGCAAACTATAAGCTTTGTGGGCTGTGCAGTTCAATATTTCTTCTTTTCAATGCTGGCGGGAAGTGAATCTTGCCTCATGACAGCCATGGCCTATGACAGGTATGCTGCCATTTGTAATCCTCTACTGCTCTATGTATCCATCATGTCACCCACCCTCTGTATTCAGATGGTGCTGGGATCCTATGTGGCAGGACTCACAGGTTCTTTATCTCAGATTTGTGCCGTGATGCAGCTCCACTTCTGTGGACCTAATATCATCAGGCACTTCTTCTGTGACATAACCCAGCTTGTAAATCTATCCTGTAGAGGCAGTTTTGTTGTGCAAGTCCTGCTTGCAATATTAACAATATTGTTTGGAATAGCTAATGCCTTAGCTATCATTATTTCCTATGGCTATATTGTCTTGTCCATCATGAAGATCATGTCAACTAAAGGCAGGTCCAAGGCATTCAACACCTGTGCATCTCACCTGATAGCTGTTTCCCTCTTCTATACTTCTGGTGTCTTTGTCTATTTGGGTTCCAGCTCTGGTGGCTCCTCCAGCTTTGACAGATTTACATCTGTCTTCTACACTGTGATGATTCCCATGCTGAACCCCTTGATTTACAGTCTGAGGAACAAGGAAATCAAAGATGCCATGAAGAGGTTGCAGAGGAAGGCAGGCCACTGCTAAGGTCAATGATTCTGAGATTTCTGAAAGATTTGTTTGGCAAAATTCCTAGGTTGAGGAAAGAAGATGTGATCTAAATCTCAGTAGTGATGAATGTTATGATTTCTTCAGTGATATTTACACAAGACTGTGAAGGTTTGATTCATGAAACAAGAGTCCAGTTGGGATTTTTTATTCAAATTCCAAATAAACAATAATAACATTTGTACTGTGATACTCTGATTTCCCTTTCTGTGTACCACTATATCATAACTACTTACCCTTCCTTAAAATATCATTGGGACCTCACTTTTAATTTGCTTCTGATGTTTCAGAAATCTGTTCAGTTTTGTGTAAGAATGTACAATTCAATTCTTTGTCATAATAGAGTTCTTAATATTCAGTTCTTTACAGAATAGCAGTATGAGAAAATAGTATACAGAACTGTAAACCCCAAATAACCACATAAGCATTAAGAACTTAAAAGCACCCAAAGTTCCCGAATCTTGAACATGAAGTAGTGTTTGCAAGGAGCTTGAATGGCTACTTCTCCAGGGAACATGAAGAGTTCTGTATGTGTGCACAGATAAAAACAGGTATGTGATTAGGAGGTTATGGCATTAGGTTACAGCCTATCTGCTTTCTTCTCAGTTCCTTTGTTAGGATTACACTTGGTAAATGCCTTAAACTATAATAAATGTTTTTTGCTAATGGCATAGGAGCAGAGGTGATGTGTAGACTTGTGGGATGGAACCTTCAGGGGTAGTTCCCTGTGTGTTTTCTCATTTTTCCACAGGGTGGACAGTGTTACAGACAGTGATTGCTATTTCAGTAGGGCTTTGAGAGATGGATCAAGATGGCTGACCTTGAAGGGAATATGCTATAGTAGAAAATAAAGGTTTCCTGTGTTAAGTTTCTGTGTTTTTGATTTTTTTTTTGTAGCATAATAAAACCTAAATCCTCTAACACTGGACTTCATATGGTCTTAAACTCTAGACTCTCACCAACATGAAAATTAGAAATTATACTCTTTCATTTTTTTACTCTGGACCCATAATTTATTTTCTGCAATAAGTTACCTTATGATTTACTTTGGTATTTACAGATAGGCAAATGGAATTTCATGTGGTCCTTGGTTACCTTAAGATATATCAAAGAATGTAAGATAAACGAGTTCCTAAAAATTACTGATTACTTCAAATAAACTTATTTGTTATCTTAAAAGTAGTAATAATCTATATGCTATTTTCATCTGAAATCATGACTAGATATTTTACTTATTAAAATTCTTCTAGCTCATATAAAACTACATCTTAAACTGTGAATTTTTTTCTCAATGTTTATTTTTTATTGCACCTTTATGCATTTCATACAATACATCTTAATCACTGGGGAGAGTTGAGAGACGCATTAGTATTCTCTCTACCCCCTTTTCTGCTATGTTCCATGAGCCTTAAGTGTAGAGGTTCCATTGGAGATGTGTCACTTAAGGCTGTGGGTACCCAGCCCTAAGTGACACATCTACAGGCTGTGTGTGACTGGCTATGGAACTTTGTAACAGTCTCCACCTGTTGCAAAAGGAAGGTCCTTTGATGATTAGTGTATGGTATAATTATAACTATAAAGATCCAGTTTTAGCATACAGTAAGAAATTATGTTCATCTAGGGATGTGACAGACTTAGGATATACTCTAAGGTTTATGACCTCTCCAGCCATGTGTATTTGGCTGTCTTTACAGTGCCACACATGAATTCTCTACAGTGAGTAGGCTTTAAGTTCAATCGGGTAGCTGTTGATTACCCCCAAGATAAAAGTAACACTACTGTAGCAATATAGTTTGCTGTGCTGATAATTGCTTTTGTTATTAGGTTTTACAACTGAGATTGGACCATTCATTGATTTTCTTCTTTTGTAGCTTGCACATCATCCTCTAGAACTAAGAGAGCTAGTCCTCAGGGAGGAGGTTTCGAGGTCAGTTCAAGTCCTGTGTCTGAAGTATATCCTGTCTTCATTAATAGGTTCTTAAATTCAAGTTCTGGGGAGGTGATCAAGGGCCGTAGCAATAGCCTGTATTATTTTGGGAGTCTCTTGGACTACCCTGACCAGCAACTCAAAGGGAAGTTTCTCCTCTCCAGCACTGTTTCTTTTTATGTAGCCTTCAGATAGATTTACACATGTACTCATGTTCAGCTACTGTGTGTGTACCTACTGGTTTTTGAGATAGTACATTTCCCTCAGCTTTTCACACTGGATAATGTGAATATACTTATTTATCTCTCCTGCCTCTCTTCCTGTCTAAACTTCCTCATCCCTCTCCAGTTAAATTAGCTCTATTCCCCCCATCTTCTTCTTGATAGTGCCTGTCTCCTATTATCCCCCCAGTCTTGTGCTGCCTCTTCCCCTTTACTTCCATGGTTCCTTGTATGGCCTTCCCTCCTCCCTTCCCAGTTGAATATCCCCATTTTCCACATTTCCCCATTGGTAATATCTGTTTCCCTACTATGTCCCTCTCTCTGGCTCTTTCCCTTTACCTCTGTATTTCTTTCCATCTTCTGGTGCCTATGGTTACCTTGGTGGTATGCACTCACGTATAAGGATTTGGTGCTAAGATCCACAAATGTGAGAACATACATTGCTATTCTTCTGAATCTGTGTTACATCACCTAGTACAACAGTTTCTAGATCCATTTATTTACCTGAAAATTTTCATGACTTCATCTTTCTTTACTGCTGAATAATAACTCCACTATGTAAATATTTTTGTTATCCATTCATTGGTTAAAGGACATTTAGGTTCTTTCTATTTCTTAGCTATTGTGAAAAGAGCAGCATGAAAAACAGATGTACAAGCATCTCTACAGTAGGTTGAGTCCTTTGGGTATATGCCAAGGAGTGGTACAACTGGATCATACGGTAGATTCATTTTTTTAAAATTATTTATTTAATAACCACATAATTAGAAGAACCATTTCATTACAACAGCATTGACATATTCAATAACAATTTCCAGAGCTAAGATGCATCTCTTTCAAAATTGGCTGTAAATTTTTAGGTTTACAGTTGAATTAACACAGTTATACAATATTGTACTCAGTATAAACCCAATAAGACATAAAATTGAATGAGGTTTTAACCTTTAAAAAATATCTCCATTTCATTATTAAAATACACAGTTTTGTACAGAAACATTCATTTTTAATGCAATTAACACTTAGATGTTTGCACATGCATTTCTAATCTCTATATACCTGATTATTACTAGTCATAGTCGGTTACTTTCTCAGCTCCTTGGCATCTGAGCATGGATATAAAGTCATCAGGTAGATTTCAATGGTAATGGTTTTCACATCTGCTAATTATT